TCACACTACAGAGAATATAATCATATATCAGTATATTTATACTTCTCCTCTTCTTGTCAAAAGTCAACTTAGGCCTGTTCAATTACTTTAGAATCTCAATTGACAAGCCGAACTACTTTCTCTAATACTATCGCAATATTAGTTTGGCGTGATTTACTTACGATTGTGGTCTTCTTTCTTCTGAAGATCCTATGCTCTTTTTGTCAATGTGCACTCAGGCGGATTCAATTACTTTAGAATTTCGCTTTGACGGAATAAACTTATTTTTCTTATTTCTTTTTCCACTGTTAGTTTCACTCTAATATATACTAAACGTTAGGCCTATGTCAGTCGTTAGGCCTATCACTTTTACGTTACTTAACTTCACACCAATTATATTATCTTTGCTTTTTTATCTGTCTAATACTGTCTGTCTGGTGCTTCCCGCTCGTCTCACGCTATTTATATCTTTATTACATAGTCGTCTGGCGACTTTCTATATCCTCGACACCAATTAGTTAGAAACAAAACCTTCTACAATCGTCTGCTTTTAATTGTTATTATAACAAAACTTAAAATCAATCAAATATTGACTCACAAATATACATTAATCACTAATATTTAAACTAAACAGTCTTTTATATCATGACACATTGATTAATTAGAAACTTTTATCAATCATCACTTCTTCCCAAAAATGATTAATTAACGATGCTCCAACCAAGTAGAACTAAAAGCGATCTGATGTAAGGGTGAATGTCTTGCTCGTCGTTTATGCTTTATTGCAATGAAGGCGTTTACCATATTGCATTGAAATATTAGACATGACCATGTTAATCCAAAATTTGCATTCAAATTTTTAAAAGTACTATTTCACATAAATTGAACTTTTCAAAAGATAATGACATCACGTCTTGTTTCAACAACACAGTTCTATGCATGTACCTATCGCCAACTTGTACTCGAGGTGTTGTGAATGCATGCAATATCTCTTCACATGAAAATCTATTTCAAGTATTTGCAAGATGGCATATTATTAAAAGTGAACGTTCTGCATCAATTACAATATATTTATAGAGTTTATGTGTAGAACAATAGTACTTTTACTTATTTCAGCAACATCTGTAATATGAGTATCAAAGTGTTTTTCAGTCAAACATCTATATTTTCCTGTATAGCTCTGATTATGAAAATGTTGCTTTCCACACATGTTCATAGCATCCTTCTCCGTGTTTTTTAGTCTTTAAAGTGATTAATTAGTCGGAAAAAGGTATTAAGAATAAAATTATTATATATACCTCAAGAGACGTTTAAGACCTATTCATATAAGCATATCCTGTTTCATAGCCATAGAAGATGGTTAGTAACTTGTTGTGCTATACCATAAAATATGCCCAATACCTTTTATATATATATATATATATGTGTATGTAAAGTTCTTTGTCTATTCGCGTTTTAAATAACACCATTAAAACTGGAAGTAAGCAAGAACTGTTTTTGTTGTTGTTGTTCTGCTATTTTTGTAGGATTATGCTAAAAATGTATCTCAATCAAATTTGTTTGCAGCCTTAATCAATTTTCGTAACGTGCGTAGTCGGATAACTTGTGTTTGTTCTTCTTCGTTCGCAAAATAAAATTCAATCAAAATATATCGAAATATTTTACTAGAATTCAATTAAGTAGGTATGTATTTGATATATCTTATTTCAATTCGACATAAAAGTGGAAAAATATGTCTATGTTCAGTAATCAGTTTTCATAACCCTAAGAAATATTGTTTTTGTCATAGCAGTGTGGGTGGATATAATCAAGGTGTACCGAAATTAAGTTTACACAATTATTTACTCAAGCTATAGAGACAAAGGCTCTGCAACTCTGCTCCAATGGCTACTAGAATTCGATTAAATCAGTGGAGATACATAGTAGCGTGCACGAAATACCACGACAGCGTGAAACGAGCACGAAAAATGTTTGAACCCATCCAGGTATAAAGCACAATAAATTTGTTAATGTAAATTCCAGTCCCTTATATATATGCTACGTTATGGGTAAGTGTATATGTTCACAACAGCAAAAATATTCCTACTTACTATATGAGATTCGCTGTTGTTTATTCAAATTACTTTAGCTTTTCTTTGTGTTCAGGATATTATTGTGTCTCCGCAGAGTGTTTTTCTATTGTTTCTTCTTCTTGAAAATACTATTCAATCTACCACCATTCCTTCATTTCTTGGAAGATTGACTTCAAACTGGATAGGATTATACCTTTGTCCAATACGCCCATACTTCTTTGATTTAGGCCTTTTAAAAGATTATACGGGGTAAAGGTTCCAATAACCCAAAGATGTATATTTTGGGCTCCTGTGCGGTCATATTTAGAGCAATCAAAATGACAATTGTCACAAATATAAATTTTCATGCACCCAACACATTGAAATACAAAACGTTGGATTTGTCCATTTTGAGTTTTGTTACGAGGTGAGAACTCACACAAAAGCATATTTTTTTTTGGGGGGGGGTCAATTACTCGGATATATTTGGACCAATTTACATGGAATTTGGTACAAAGATGTTTTTCTACAAGTCCTACACATTTATAAGCAAAAATGGTAGACTTGATCATTTTTAGTAATTATAGGGGGGTCAAGATTCCACAAAAAACATACTCTTAGTTTTTGGCAATTATTCCTCCGTATTTTGGCCGGTTTACACGGGATTTGGTAAAAAGGTACTTTTTTAAGGTCCCATAAATACAACTAAAAAATGTGGGATATGCTAATTTTTAGTCATTTTAGGGGTCAAAAGGTTAAATAAACCCATAATTCTAGGGGTTTTGGTCAATTACGTAGCTTTGTTTCGACCAATTTACATGAAATTTGGTAGAAAGATACTTTTTCCAGATCCCTAACAGAGATATAGACAATTTTGGAATTTTTTGTCTTTTGCTCAATTTTTTAGCGGGGAAAGTACAATTTGGGGTATTCGCGAACAATTAATGTGTATGCCAACCAACTTACTGGGATTATGTACAAAAATACCTTCTTGTAGGTCTCAAGCAGTGATATAGACAGTTTCGATCTTTTTGTGTTTTTCACGATTTTTCTGGTGTCAAATCTGGCTATAATGGGAATTCATGGCGGAAACATGTTGCATTCATCCGCAAATGTTGGCCTCTTTAATTAATTAAAACAACAGCAACAACAACTTTATAACTAGCTGTCGTTTCTACTATAGGGTAGCATACTCTGAAAATAATATGTCAAAATATTTTTTTGCCAACAAATTTTCGCTCATGGAATTTCTAAAGTACACTGACGTAAATAAATAAGCTTGCTTAAAATTCTAGGAGGAAAAAGGTAGGAAATGAATTCTGATTTTTCCATTTCGTTATTTTTAAATATTTTGTCTTCCTTTGCCATCATCTATATTAATTATCTATAACATTAATTCAACAAAATTTGCAAGTTTTATCTATCTATCTATAATTAAAATAACTTTTTTATTGTTTGACTTCTCTACTTCTGTTTTTTGATGATTGTATACGTTTGTCATAAGTCGATGTGACTTTAAGTCTGTGAAACAAGTAAACGTCTGACAGCAAAGATAATAAATATAGGTAAGTTGTATTTTTGTGCATGAATGATTCTGTGTTGTTTTTGTTTTCATAACTTCGAATATCTAAATATCCTTTCATCTCCATTATTGCTGCATTTGTGTTCTTGAATAGTATCTCCCCCCCCCTCCACCTGTTTATCTTGTAAGTGCAACTAGAAGAGCAGCCAGTTCCATTCCTCATGAAACCTCTTCCTTGGAATATCTTCCCATTCGGTGCAAATAATTTTAATTTTGCCCAATAGTTTAGGCCCAAGGCTTAGTTGGGAATACTTGATGATCTATACCTGTAGCTGCACAGTCCTAAACTCAGCACAGATAATCAATAATTTTAAGTTGTCTGTTGGGCAGGGTGTCCACGGATGATTAGGTGACTATGCTTGATTGATTTATGTTATGGTTTACCAAGAATAAATGAGCTTAAAATAAAAACTATTAATATTTTAATGCGTATTTTAAAAGATAAGCATTTTTAATTTGTGATTGCGAGCGTAACTCGAAGATATTGTGACACAAACTATTGTTAGTTCACGATTATTGTTTTTCGTAATTAATTTTTTCTTTATAATCTATGTAGTTGCCTGATCTTAGCAGCAAGCTTCAGGCATACAATGGAAAAATCTCGGGTTTGATCCCCGTAGCGGTTACAGTGAAGAGAACCCATTGTGCAGTTTTCGGTATTGTGTATTTACTCTTATTTTTTTAGAAGTAAATGTTTGTTTATTTCGGATATTCGCGCAAAGCCACACAAAAGTTATCTGTCGTACCTATTTTTCATCTGATATATTAAAGAGAAAGCAACTGGTTAACAAATTCATCGCCAATTCTGGGGCTACGACAATCGAATAGTGGAATTCTACTGTCACTTTTGTAACACATCCATGGTCACATAGTACAGAATGCAATTTTGCAGCAACGGTACACGAACCGTGCATCTTCGGATTCACAATCAGGCACGTTAACTACTTTCGCTCACGCCAGGCTACAAACATATAAGTAATCAGTGTAGGTGTTAGTAACTTGTTGAAAGTAAGTATATGTATCTTATTCAAACTGCTGATTATGGCGCTCGACTCACAATCTGCAGGTTCGAATCCTATTACTGAACATGATCGCTCTTTCAGCCATAGGGGCGTTATATTATCATTAAAACTCAGTTGTTAAACATTTTAAACACATAGTTAACTAAGAATTAAATATTTTTGTTCTAATAACACTTTATTTAAGGAAGTAATTAAAGAATTAAAGAAATCAAGGAATTGACATTTATTATATCATAACTAGGCTTAACGTATTCGTTACATTTGTTTTCTCGAAGATTTTAATACATTTCTGTTCATTGAACTCATGTTATTTTCAACAAAATAACTCATAATATAAGCTGTAAAAAGAAGAAAGAGAAAACTTACATTGAAGGTACGTCGACAAGAAGTACTTTTTATAGTATTAGTTTAAATAATTCGTTTGTAGTAAGTTATGTCTTATCTGTTCTTCAGGTTATCGTGGACGTGTATTCTAAAGCTAGCTATAGCAGGGGCTGTTTGTTAACGGGACTGAGTAGGTCCTGTCTCCTTCTTTCAACAGAGATCTCAGCTTTTCTAGGATTATTTTGTAAGTCAGTCAATATGTAGGCATCAGCTTATATACTATGATGTCCCATGCTTATCTCACATGTGTGTGGGTGGTAAGTGTCTGTCATTTGCTGTACACGTGCTCGACCTGCAGTAAGTTAGCACGAGCGCGCGCACATACACTCACACAAAGAAGTTAAGTGTGCACGTGCCCAGAACTTAAACGAAAAATATCACGTATACTTAAAAAATATATATACATCTTAAGGAGAAACGAACAGATGAATGCTCATGATTGTACAACACAGCCAAACTAGCTATATGGCACTTTATATAAAAGTAATCTATGTATGTAGAACTGAGATCATAAAGTTAGATATACATATATCTATAATACTGGATTTCTTATTTCAGCAGCTAGTGTAAACACGAACAGTTTAAAAAACGTTAATGGACATTTTTGAACTACGCATTTTTTGTTTTTTAATTATCAAAATTCTTTATACGCACTCAACAAATGTTATTATAATTGAAGAATGTTTAACGTAGGAGCAAAGAAGAAAAAAAAATACGTAAATGAGCCAGGCGTGGTCTAGTGGTAAGTGTACTAAGACTGTGAATCCGAGATTTTAATTGGTGGCCAGTTGCCGCGAAAATGCGCTCCGCTTTTGGGGCGAAAAGTGCACTACTATAAGATTAACGGTCAAATCTCACTATTGAATTAGATAGGAATAGCTCAAGAGCTGGGGGTAGATTCTATTTACTAGCTGTCTTCCCTCTAACCTTTTAGTTCAAAATTAGGGATGGTTATATGCCGATAGCCCTTTCTATAGCTTTGCGCAAAAATTTTGAAACAAAAACGTTGCTAGCGTCACACATCAAACAAAGATTAGAGTTAAAATGTAATTATGTGCGATTCTTACTGGAGTGTGTGTGTGTTTCTTATAGCAAAGCCACACCGAGAGGAATCGAATCCCTGATTTTAGCGTTGTAAACCCGAAGACTTACCGCCGTCCCACCGGGGGACTTCTTACTGGAACTTCATATTTAGAACCTATACGAATAATTGTGCTTAAGTTAATATCAGGGTTACATAATGATATTCCTCCTGACATTTCCTGTGTTACAGTCTTATTTAGAAATCCCCCAGTGGGTCAGCGGTAAGTTTATGGACTTATAACGCTAAACTCCGGTGTTTGATTCCCCATGGTGGACAAAGCGCAGATATCCTATTGTGTAACTTTGTGCTAGATCAAACAAACAAACAAAAACTTACTTAAAGTTGTATATAATAAAAGAGTAACTTAAAAATGTAAAAATTAATTTTGTTTTAATTTAACTTCGAGATTACAGAGGGTTAATCGCATTCCATCAAAATAATTTACACAGGTACCATATTTAGCGTTCATATATTTAGTCCACAGTGAATTTACGATCATTCGATATGTAATGTCGCCTCTAGTAGATTTGCGGCTGGAGGTAAAGTTGCGACCTTTTCCGAGGAAGAATATTCGTATAGTGAGATTAGTAAACGATGCCAAGACCCAGAAACCAATTATTTCAACAAATGGAACGTTCAATGATTTCTATATTTGAAAGAGTATTCGCACAGCAGACGTTTAGGACAGCAACATGTGTGAAACTAGTTCAGAGCAACATCAACATACGAAAAAGAACACCCACCCCGACTCGAAAAGCGATGGAGATGGGCATATTTTCTACTACAAGAATCAACAGGTGCTTCTATGAGTTAAATAGGAAAAGAAACTGGAATGACAGCAATTCCATTAGATTGCCGTGAGTCTGCTTAAACCTAAGCTTGGAAGAAAAAGTCAATGCACAATGAAAAACCCGTGGAAAGTTTATCAGGAGTTTGGTTAAGATTGTCCAAGCCGTCTTTCACAAATACGCAATAGAGGAAGTAGTTCAATGGCACTATGTGATCTAAAAATAATGTCCTCATAAAGTGCGCTTAACCATCAGTAAAAACTCAAATATAATATTTTGGGCAAGTAATTCTTCTATTACTAATATTCGAGTCGAAATTGTCCATAAATTCAACTCAGAAATGCAATATATGCTTTTTGTTTTAATTAGACACTGTAGAAAAAATTTGTATCATCCTAGCGAGTCTTTTAATGTGGTAAGACGTTTCAAAAAGCCATTAACATTAACGAAATTATTTCTGTATTATTATACATCTTAATGAAAAATATTTCATCACATATCACTTAATAACAAATAATTACATTTATTACAATTAATTGAAATCATGTAACTCTGAATTAATGGCCAATGATAGAAAAATCGATATATATATGTATGAAGTTACAGTGAATTTTACCGTGTTAGGTGGCAGACTCCACAACACCAGTACACTGTTATTGAAAGTTATCAACACTAATACATTTTCTGCGCCAGTCAGACACACAAATAAATTGTATCTGTGAATCCCAAACACGTGTACATTATCTCTGTTAGTCAGTAGCACCAAGTCATTGCCAGTGTTAGTCAAACATGCCAAATTTTTGTCTCTATTAACAGCTTCTTAGTGGCTCAGTGGTAAGTCTGAAGGCTTATGACGCCAAAAACCGAGTTTTGATACCCGTAGTGGGCACAGCACTGATAGTCCATTGTGTAGCTTTGAGCCTTAACAACAAACAAAGTATATTAGCAACATGATTTTATCATCTCTATTAGCCCGAAACTTCAAAACCAATTTAAACAGCTAGCCAGATATTATATATCTATTTTAAATTTATACTTTTTTTGCATAATCCATTCAGTTAACACTATTTAACAATGGTAAAACGACAAACTTTTCTCGAATGTTTCAGCAGACCAATTTTCGAAGGTTCCCCGAGAATGCTCTTCATTGCGTGCCTTGGGTGATCATACATACAAGTGTCTTAATCTACAAAATAATAAAAAATTAGTGTAGAATACAAGCACAATAAGTACTTTCTCTCCCCTTTACTTAACTGTTTAGTTCATCTAGAATTATTGCAATTTTTTAGGCATACATATTCGTAGTTTCAGCAATGAAGCATTGATCAAGGTATTTGCTAAGTTTCTTTCACCCGGATTATCTATAGTTCCGGGTCACGTGTCCTTTCTCATGGTAATGATATCTGTAAAGTCGAACACACTTTGTAAAAGTAAAAAGCGATCATTTGCAATCACGAGTCAGATGATACCTTGAATTTGCAACCTCCCTAAATTGGATTGGAGATATTAACAATGACACATATAATGCAAGGGTGTACGTAACGCTATGATTTTTCAGTCTGGATAATATTTTCTTTTTCTTCCCAGATTACTCTGGAAACGTCAGTAAAGAAGTCATCCTCCGTTATTCACTTTAATTTCGATTGTGTTTTGTGAATTGAATAAATATAGTTCCCCTCTGTTTAACATTGTGCTCTTTCTTTACTAAACTAACTCAAAAACCGAGCGAATCATAATTTATTCCTACAAAACACTTTATGTTAAACCTAGAGTTCGCATTTGGATGAACAATAGCGGGATTCCTGTACTTTCTTCTAAAATCTCGCAAAAAGTTTTTCTTCAAGGGGGAAATTCCCGAAAAATAAAATGAAAACATTGTTGCATTGGTATTTGAAAAACACTATCCAATCGCATACCAGCTTATAGAGAAAAATCTTTAATTGAAAATTGAAATAATAACGACAATTCCTATAGGTGCACTTGATAAATTTTTGATATATGCTTCCAAATCCAACCAATTAAACAACGATTTTCAAAGCAGACATATATTTTAGTAAGGTTTTACGTAATTGTGCAATTTGCAAACTTTGCTGTGTTCGATGATATAAGCTGATTTATCGTACATAAACGATGTATTGCACAACCCACGGTAGAATGTACTATACTGTATGAAATACCGCACCTATATGTCCCATCACTCGGCACACACGGTAGTACAATCGGTTAGCTGACTATGCCAAATTCGTTTATGCTATCATGGGTGCAAGAAACTTGTATTCCTACTTCAACAGAAGACAAACAGAAAAAGGACTTTTAAACACAGCTTGAAACTGATCAAAAACATTTTGCAAGCAGTAGCGCAAGTAATGTTCGCGATGTTCACCAAAGCATCACATCTGACGTTAGCAGTGCCAGTATGACAAATAACGTTTCACCTAATGTTAGGCCCAACATTAGGCTCAGCTGGAAGGAAAAGTCGTAACATCGGGCTTTCGAAAGAAAAATCCTGACAAGTTAAAAAAAAAAAGACTTCATATTTGGTCATGGTTAAAGTATACGGACAGAGGCATGTTTTGCCAAAGTTGCAAAACAGCTTAGCCTAGTATGAAAGGTAGACTTTTTGTTGGAAAAGGATGTAAAGATTTCAAAACCAGTTCTTAGTCACAAACATACTCAAGCTCTGACTGTTGTTCGATCCAAAAAAGTTAAACCCCTTGAAAAGTTAGCAATGAATGCAATTCAAGAAAAAGAGAGAAGGATACTTTCTACTTTAAAAACAACATATTTCATGGCGGAGTTTAACATTGCTAATCACCTTCAAAGAATTATAATGGAACTTTAAGAGTAAGTAGGCTATTCACCTATTAGTATTATTACTAAAATTAGGAGGCCTAGTCCTAGTCTATTAAACTTTTCTTGTTTAGAAAGTGTATAGGCTAGTCTAATGTTAAAGGATTTGCTTACAGTAATAGTGCAGAGCCAAAAAAGTGTTTTTCTTACACCTCTGCTTTCAAAATTGGAGGATAAAATTTTTTCAAAGCTCATGGGTGACAAATATATATGTTGTCCTACCACACTGGTGTCGCTATTATGGGGAGAATAGGACATTTCCCTCCATGAGAACACTCTTCATCCACTTCCCCTGCCCCTTAAAAATTAGAACATATATTTTTATGTACTATTAACTTCAATCTTCTTGAGTAACAGCTGCCCCAGTGCCTCTACCTTGCCTCTCAGCAACAATTTTCTGGTGATACCACTGGTCTAGCTTTAGACAAAAAAAAATTATAAAAATGAAAAAACCAGGCAGATTCAAGACT